ATGGCCCAGGGATCTCAGACACCTGCCATATCCTGGTGAAGGATAACTGCATTTCTTATCACCTCCCTTTCCAGGATTCAGAACGGTACAAGTGTGAATCCTGCTTTAATATATATAGATTTCCTATACGCTGCGGTCACTGCTGGTCCAGTTCTCTCCCTCCGCATCTGGGAGAACAGCTCTGGCCTGATACACAGGCCGTGGCCTCCAAGGGGGTGTGACTTGCTCCACCCACCTGCTCTGTGTCCCTCTTGTAGGGGACTATCTCAGATTATGAAACCTTCAGCTTCAAGTTCATTTATTTTATTGGACATTCACTTACAGAGCTCTCATTGCGGGCCAGACACTGTGCCAAGCACTTATCAGTATGAATCCTTCATTTCCAGCAATAAGCCTCCCCATAAGAGAGGTATGCCAGGATCTCAGTATTATACATGAGGAATCAGAACCACGGAGAGGTTGAATACCATGCTCAAGGTTACACAAGGGCGAAATGGTAGAGGCAGGACGTGAACACAAGCCAGCTTCTGGTCTCAGAGTCCTTCTCCTAATAATGACTGTTCTACTCTGTCTTTTTGGCTACTATGTGACCTAATCATGTCCTTTTCTAACAATGTTGTATGACTGCTTCAAAACAGTCATGTGCTATTTAAGTTCTTCAAATAATCATAAAGGAAAAGATGGGGGAGGGAGGGATTTACTCCTTTTAGACCCTTAGCTTAAGGTTTAAAGCAGTGGTTTTCAAACTTTGGCAGGTATCAGAATCCCCTGGAAGCTTGTTAAGACAGACTGCTGCACCCCTAGAGTTTCCAAGTCAGTAGGTCTGAGTGGGGGCCAAGGATGTCTATCTCTAACAAGTTCCTGAGTGATGCTGATGCTGATGCTCTGGGGACCACACTTTGACAACCATCAGTCTAAAGCACTATTTTTAACTCCTGAGAAACAGTAGCCTAATAAACTTTTGGCTATAAGTCATTTTTAGATCATTGGGAAGACAGGCAATCTCTCCTGAAAAGAAAAAGAAAAACCAAAGAGTACTCATAAGATTATGTGCAGATTAGGGGCACCTGGGTAGCGGAGGGGGGCTCAGTAAGTTGGGCGTCTGACTCTTGATTTCAGCTCAGGTCATGATCTCAGGGTCGTGAGATCAAGTCCTGCATAGGGCCCCATGCTCAGCAGGGAGTCTGCTTGAGAGTCTCTCTCTCACTCTCCCTCTGCCCCTCCCCACTTTCTCTCTCTCTCTCTCATTCTCTCTCTCAAATAAATAAATAAATCTTGAAAAAAAGATTATGTTCAGATTAAGAGTGAAGATATGTGGTTTTCTTAGCTTTTCTGTTTCTGAGAAGGAAAAAGATATTAAAATTCGTGAGTAAACCAGAAGGAAGTTTCAAGCCCTGCTGAGATTGTCAAAATGGGCCTCTCCAGGAGCCTGGGTTACTGAAGAAAGGCAGAGACTGACTATAGCACCCGGCAGCCACGTGGCATTGGCTCCAACCAAGGGGGCGTGAGCCTGTCCCTCAGCATTGAAACCTTTTTACATATGTCCCCATATGTCACCTTATTTGAGTAACTAGTACTTCATTAATACTACTTGTCATACCTTCATTTTAGTAAAAAGATAAAATAAAAAATAAAAAGGTAAAATATAAATGATTAGAATGTATGCTACATTTAGTCTCTCATCAATCAAACAGTATCTTCTGGGATTTTTAATATACTTAACACTGTACTAAGGACCAAGGCAGTACCAATCCTCTCTGAAATACAGCCTCTGCCCATATAAACTCACAATGCAGCTGGGAAGGCAAGTCACTCTCACTGGAACAGAAAAAAGCATACAAATATCAGAAGGGAGAGTGATGTGATCTACGATTTATAAAACAAATTCTTTTTCTTCACAGTAACATTATATTATTATTGTATTTATTCATTCAACAAATACAAATCAGGCCAGTACTGTGCCAGACCCTGGGAACAGAAATAAAGACAAGCTCCTTGCCATTAAGAAGCTCACAGTCTAGAAAAGAAAGGCATTTCAACATGCATCTACCAAACAAATGTGATCAGAACCATAACTAGTAATAGAGATATGCACTGGATGCTACTAAAAAAGAGAGGAAGACACAGCTAATCTTCCTGGCCTCAAAATTCTTTAAAAGCCTCCCCCCGCTTGCACACATGCACGCGCTCTCTCTCCCTGTCTCTCAAATAAATTAGTCTTTTTAAAAAATCAGTAAGAATATAAAAAATCTAAACTAATGGCATTAATAGAACACTGCACGCATCAATTATTTTAAAAAAGCCAATCCAATAAAAAAATAAGCAAAAACATATGTACAGGCCATTTACAGAGAAATAGAAAGCATAAATGGCTAATGAAATGTAAGGAAAGATGTTCAACCTCACTAAAAATCAAGTGCAAATTAAAACCATAAGAAGATACCATGTCAACACTCGTCTGATGTCGGTGAGGCTCTGCCACTAGAAGAGACCCGGTGGTGGGAGTTAGATGTGTGTCAATGATTTTGGAGAGTGGTGTGGCATCAGCTCAAGAAGTTGAACCTGCAAACGTCCCTCCATCCAACAGTTTCACACTAAGAGAGTGTATTAGTCTGCTCGAGCTGCCGTAACAACATACCACAGATCAGGTGGCATCAACAACAGAAAGAAAAGACAATTATTTTCTCTTGAATATAAAAGGCACATTTGATTTGTATCATGGGTGAAGATAGAGATATGAATAGGAGAAGAACAATATCCTGGCTTGCAGATAGCCGCCCTCTGTGGACTCTTCCCACGCCCATCCCTCAGTGCATCCCTCAGTCCCCAGGGTTCTCTGTGTGCCCTAGGCCCCTCTTCTCATAAGGGCACTGGTCAGATTGGATTACTCTCCACCCTACCAGCCTCATTTTAACTTAATCTTTTCTTTGAAGGCCCTGTCTCTAAATGCAGTCAGGAGCTGAGATACTGGGTATCAGGGCTTCAGCATATGAATTTGCGCAGGCGCAATTCAGTCCAAACAGTTTCCTTAAAGAGACTCCCCGTCATGAGCACAAAGAAACATGTGTAAGCAACTTGGTTGCATTTGCTCTAATAACATATAAAAAGACAAAAATATCGGAAATAAACTAAATGCCCATCATCGGGAGAGTGATAATAAATGGAGGTATTTTGGAATAACATACTCGTGTTAAAATGAACTAGAGTTACATATATCAACATGGACAAATACATAGTTTTGAATGAAAAAAGTAAGTTGCAAAATAATTAATGCAAAATGATACCATTTATGTAAAATGTTTTTTAAATATGCAGAACAATGTATATTATTCAAGGCAAGTTAAATATGTAATTATATGTAAATATGTAAAAGAGATGCATGGGAACAATAAACAAATTCAAGAGGATGCTTCTGTGGGGGTAGGGGCATGAAGAATGCATTTGAGGAAGCATACACAAGGTATCAACTATGTTGATTATGTTCTAATTCTTAATCTGGGAATCAAGTATCCTGGTAGTCATTATATTACTATGCACATCTTTTGAATGTCTGAAATATTTACCATAAATTAAAGCCAAAACTAAAATATTTGTAAGAATTATGGTTTTTTATGTTTTCATTCTCTTGTACAGTTATTTATGCCAGGGCACCTGGTGGCTCAGTTGGTTGAGTGTCTGACTCTTGGTTTTGGCTCAGGTCATGATCTCGCAGTTGTGGGATCGAGCCCCGTGTCAGGCTCTGTGCTCAGTGCAGAGTCTGCTTCAGATTCTCTCTCCCTCTTTCTCTCAAATAAATAAATAAAATCTTAAAAAAAAAAGTTATTTATGCCTTTTTGAGCTTTCTTTTACTTAAGAAAGGATATGCATTTTCAAGAAAATTTTAAAAGGGGCTTGACTGTGTAGGAGAATTCTAAGAACCCAGGGAAGAAATATTAATATAACAATGCACAAAACGTAAAATAGACAACTCTTCCAACATGAAATGTTACATTACCAAGACAGAGAATGATAAAGGAAGAGAAAAACAATTGGAAATGATAAGAGCAAAATGTTTTAAGACTACTAGAATTGTGGGATGCCAATAATCAATATATGTATAAATCAACCTGCAAGAGCCTAACTTTGAAAATCTGTTACAATGGTGAGCACTGCAATCAGCTCGGATATTGTTCTCCTCCTATTCATATCTCTAACTTCACCCATGAGAAAAATCAAATGTACCTTTTATATTCAAAAGAAAATAATTTTCTTTTTATTTAGCTTTTTCCACAACCATCTCCGAGTCATTGGCAAAGACTTTTGGAAGTCTACTTCTATTTCCTAAAACTGAATTTACACACAGTCATCTATGAATAGCTTTCTTAAGAATTTGAACAGTGGACTCATTAATTATAGTAGAGGAGAGTGAGATTATGAACTATCAAATATAAATAAATAAAATGCATTAGCACTTTATTGTTATTAAAGTTTTAGCAACATGTTAATATTTTATTAATGACAAGATCCACTATAATGGTGTAAATTGTAATGAGTGCAACTGGTAAAAATATAATCCATGCTTTTCTACAGATTTCTTTGCTCGTGGTCAAAGCAGAATTACTTAGCACTGGCTAGTAATGTGTAACTGGCTCTGTCCCTGTTTTCTATGACGGAAACCTCAAGGTCCATTCCGCTACATAATCTCCAAGTGTTTCAAGCACTCCATCAAGGGGCTTCTCATTTTCCTAGTGTGATGAATACAGCCCCCTTTGCTACCACGTGTGATCATTTTCTACCTCCTCTGCGATTACCCTCAATCTGGCTCTCTGATTGGCAATCTGGCAAAGCAATGTGCCATGGTGCATCCTCATTTCCAGCTGACACCCACCAATGCTATGCCCAGTGGTACCCAAGCCATCTGCCGTGTCAAGGTGCCTATAGAATGGAAAGGCCAGTGACCTGTCTGCTACACCACAGCACCCCTGGGTGGTGAGTGATGGGACCACATGCAGGTACTCAAGGCAAACACATCCAATCAGAGTTCTTCTGTATTTTTCAAACTGGAGTTGGAAGAGCTATGAGCTGAGAGGTGTGGAAACTGGGAACTGATGTCTGTCATTGATTTAGACCTTGGCCCTTGATAAGTACTTTCACCAAAGGAAAGAAAGAATAAATAAGCTGAGGCACTGTCAGGGCGTACCTGTCAGCCCATCTTCTTCTTCCCTTGGCATGAGCTTTCTCTACAGGATCTTCGTTTTCCCATTTCACAGATGATGCCCAGCCTAAAATCACCCAGACATTCTCCTACACAGTTGGATCAAGGTAAGCATCGTTAGGTTTAAATTGGGACCCCATTACCTGATAAATTATACCCAAAAATGCAACCAGATGCTATGTGAGGTAGTGAGTTCCTCAACGCTCCAAATATTTCCGCAGAGACTAGAAAAATATCCATTAGAAAGAGAGGCACATCTTCTCTTGCCCTAGGAGGGAGGCTGGGTTACATGACTTTCAAGGACATTTCCAACTTGAATGTTTTCTTTTCCTAGTGACAGCAGACTAGTCAATGTCATATTCCCAGGTCTTCTAAACCCCAGCCGTGCTGAGAATCAGGGCTTTCTGAAGGTAATACCATTTCCAGGTATGTTTGCTCCTGGGAAGCCAACCTTATTCATCAATTCTAAGACATGCCTTTTTTGCACACACTAATACCTCTGAAATAGTGATGTATCTTATAATCAATGGCTTGTTGCTGTTTAATTGCCAGGGCTTTGCTCTTTCTTGCTTAGTGGCATATAAAATAATGTTGTGCCTTACAATGGCATCTTTGATTCAATTAAATATAGTAGGACTTCAGCAGGTTCTCTAATGCAAGCATGGTCAATCCATTCTTTTTTCTTATGATTTTCAAATACATATGCTCCACCCTCAGCTATATACCCACAGGCTTTGTAGGCAAGCCCCTCTCCCATTTGACCAGGGTAAAGGGCTAACATTTTGGTTACTCAACTACTGTGGAAAAGAGACAAGTAGCCAGAAGATATTTCACAGGCTTTCACTGTCTTTTTGCAGAGCTGCATGAAGCAACTTGTCTGACCAGTCCAGATTCATTGGTTACGAAATGAAGCCACTCTGAGGGAAAAGTCCAGTCCCACAACCGTATACCTCCTCTGAAATCACTGGTAGACTTTTGTTCATGCTGGGTGCTCTAAATTCTCAGCTTGGAATTTTACCCATCTTGTTGACCAAGACATGTCTACTTCTTAAACAACCAGGGAGCCAGATCCAGTCTAAATCTACCTTGAAATTCCCTCTTCATCAGAGAGAGATTAAAATCCAAAGGACTCCACATCATGTGAATCATTAACCAAACTAAAAATTCCAGACCTTGGAATTTGCTAAAATGTATAAGATTGGGGGCGTTCTAAACCAAGTCTCTGAGCTACACAATATTTTGATTGTAAAATGTAGGGTGAATTTAATAAAAAGAAATGTTTGAGAAACAAAAGCCAAATCTCTCTCTTCTTGACCATTTCTCATTTTTCCTGGGCTTCTGTGATGAACACACCCTAGGGTGATTCCCAAGGAGTAACCTTGTATAAATCCCTCCCCTTGAGTGTGGGCAGAGCCTGTGACCTGCTTCCAACTGATAGAATATGCCAAAAGTAATGCCATTCCCATGATGGCATGACATTATATAAGACTCCTAGCAGAGTGAAGAGAGACTTTCTCCGCTGGCCTCAAGGAAGCAGACAGCCATGCTGTGAATTGCCTATGGGAGAACCATGTGGCAGAGGATTGCAAGGTGGTCTCTAAAAGCCTAGAGCTGCTTCCACCTAATATCCAGTACGAAACTGGGGTCCTCGGTTATATTGCAAGGAAATGAATTCTACCAACAACCTGCATGAGCTCAGAAGTAGGCATTTTCTCAGATGAACCTCCAGATGAGAATGAAGTCAATCAACATTTAGACTGCAGACTGGTGAGACCCTGAGCAGAGGACCCAGTCAAGCAGTGCCTCCCAGATTCCTGACCCGTGTGAGCTATGAGATAATAAATGTATGTTGTTTTAAGTGACTAAGTTTGTGATAACTAGTAATACAGCAGTAGGAAATTAACACAGGCTCCCTTCTGCTCCTTCACCTCCTCTGTTTCTTTCTATCATTGTATCTATGCTAACATGCATTCATTAAATTAGCATAGAGAGAGAGACCAGACTCCGAGGATACAGCAAGGATCAAAACATACAAATTCTTTGCCCTCTTAGAGTTTATGTTCTGGCAAAAGAACACAGACAGTAAGCATATAAACAACTACTCTTCGATAATGGTAAGTAGTTTGAGAAATAGAAATAACCGGGGGATGTTATTTAATCCCCCATTACATTAGATTTGTTTTTAATTTCTATTCCCCTTTCCTGTCTCTTTTTCAATTTGGGTAACTACCTTGGGTAAAATAACAAAATTCATGCTATTGAGTGGATGAACCAAGGGTCACTAATTTATCAACAGAAAGATGAACTAATAGATGGAAGATAAATTACCATGCACATAAAATGTTCCAATGAGGCTGACAAAGTAACCATGAGCTGGCATGGGGACTCTTACTAAATAAGAAGGTTTTAATCACATACACTTTCTCCACCCTTTTTTGCTTTTCTTTTTACATAAAGATTTATACCAGCACGTGTCACCACACTCAGGGTCCACAGTCCCCATCAGGACTAACTAACCCTCCCCTCCCCTCTCCCTCTCCTCTCCTCTCCACTCCTCCTCTCCTCTCCTCTCCACTCCTCCTCTCCTTTCCTCTCCTGTCCTCTCTCTCTTCCTCAGCTAGTTGTAGGCAATGTGGTGGAATCTGGGAACCATGTCACAGAGAAAACAAGTAGAGGAATTTGAGTTTTTAGCTTGTCCAAGTGACTAACAGGAAACCAAACAAATGTGCTAACAGGAAACCAAATCAATGGGCTCAAGTTACAAATAGACAGATTCCAGACAACTAAAAAAAATTTTTTTTTGATAATTGGAATTTGTTCAAAACGGAATGAGTCGCCTAAGAAACTTGTCCCTAGAGGGATTCAGGCAGAGCCAAGATGCCTTTTTCTTATGGTTGTTATGGGCCATTTCCACAGCGGCTAGGAAAGCTGCTGATGAATTGATTTATTACCTCTCTGTACCAGGGTTCAGCTACAGAGGACAGACTTCACCCTGGCTACTTTAAGCAGAAAGGAATTTATTATGGTTATTAGGTGGCTGGCAGAAATACCTGGACAGCAGGCTTGAGGGTGAGATTGTAGGAGCTACTTTCCAAACCATACAACAGAACTCACCTTCTGAGGGATCCTCTGCTGTTTTAGAAAGAAAGCTGAGGAATCAGGAAGCTGCCTCCACGTCTGCTGCCTCCGGATCACATTACCTCTGCCGTGATCAGCATTATCAGCATGGAGGCATCTGCCTCCCTATGTCCACCCTGCCTTCCCAGTCTCATGGGGCCATGCCTGCTTGGTGGAAGCTAGGACATTTGCTGAGCCCAAGATACAAGGAAGTCTGGAAATATAGGCTTCGGGTGCAAAGGAAACTCAATAGGATTTGGGGCTTCTGGGTTCTCGGACTCATCCAAATCCTCCCAAATGTGGTCATTTCCAATGTTAAGTTCCTACTCCTTCCCACAATTGTTCCGACTTTCACATGCAATCTGCTGAGGCTAAGAGCTCAACCTGCATTGTAATTAAGCATTCCCCCCTCATCAGACTGCGTAGCTGACTTTGATTGAATCAACTCCACAACAGTAAGAGATAAGAGATTTTTTTTTAAAAAAGATTTTATTTGATAGAGAGAACACAAGCAGAGGGACAGAGAGGGAGAAGCAGGCTCCCCGCTGAGCGAGGAGCCCGATGTGGGACTCAATCCCAGGACCCTGGGATCATGACCTGGGCCGAAGGCAGCCGCTTAACAGACTGAGCCACCCAGGCGTCCCGAGGTAAGAGATTTTTTTAGGGTAGAAGAAACTCACTAGTTCTCTGGCCGAGGCTTGAACGAAAATTTTAAAATCCAAGTTCTCTTTTTTAAAGTTTTCAAATGCTGTTATAAAAAGCCAGCACAGGGGTGCCTGGGTGATGCAGTCGATTGGGCATCAGCTCTTGATTTTGGCCCCAGTCTTGATCTCAGGGTCCTGGGATCCTGCTCAGCAAGGAGTCTGCTGGAAATTCTCTCTCTCTCCCTCTCCCTCTGCTCCTCCCTCTGTGCTCTCTCTCAAACAAATAAATAAATAAGCCAGCCAGCACATTCCCATGGCCCTTGTACTGCTACCCTAATACATACTCAGTCTGAGAGCACCATGATTCCAATAGGCACTTTATTCCAGATGACCCTGGAATTTATGTAACTGAAGTAACTTTTGTATCCCCCCTGCCATGGTCCATCAGTAGCCTACCCTCTAATAGTTACCAGATCCTCAGGGCCTTCAAATTCAACCAAATCATGTCCCCCACCCCAGATTCCCATCCTTCAGTTTCTGTTGCCTGATTTTGATATCACTCCCAGTTCCGTGCAAACAACAGAATTCATTCTAACTAGCTTTAGTATAAAGGAATTTAATGCTGATTTTTAGGTGACTTACGAAAAACACTGGAATAACTGAACTGAACTTCCAGAAATGACCCTCAGAATAAAAGCAGAACTTGCTCACCAGGGAACCGCCCCTCTCTACCATGATCAGGAAGCCATATTGGCACCAAGATCACTATACCTTTGCTGTGATCTTTGCCAGCAAATTAAATACCATGCTTCTCAATACCCACAAAGCTGAAACCACACAGGAGGGACTCTGGAACAGTTGCTACAGAAAAATACTAAATGCCTCCACAACTATATTTGCCTCATGACGGTCACTTTTTCCTTCTAGTCTTGCATGGGTGTGTCTGCTTGGAAGAAGCTGGGTCATTTATAGAACCCAAGTGGAAGGGACTATAGTAAATATAGTATTTAGCTTTCCAACCCCTATCACACAATAAGACATGATGTTTGGGTCTCATCCTCAAAGAATCTTCAGTCTGGCAATTGGCATTTTTTTAAAGCTGGCCAGGTGATAATTAAAATTAAATTAAATTATCAGATTAATTAAATTAGTGTTTAAATAAATGTTCAGCCAGAGTAAGAACTCTTGCCTCAGCAGACCCCTATTCTGCCCCATCTAGGCTATTCCTGGCCAGGGACTTAAGAATAAAGTTTTCACAAAGAATCCTATGGTCTGTGGGATCAAGACAATAAGGAGAATTTTTTTTTTTTTAGTGAACAATGCCCAATATGCATCACACTTGGCTACTACGGGGAAAATTAAGGCATGTACTCTGATTAGAAGATTTGGCCAACTTTATAAAACAGACTGGTTGGATTTACATTATGCCAATCTCTAGGAAGCCCAAATAGCTCATCCAAACATTCTTTACATCCACTACAAAACAATTGCTAGGATACAATGTGCATCACTTGCCATGTTAGTGCTATGAGGAATATAAAATAGACAATGATATGTCTGTCTTGAGAGCTCTGTAAGCCTTTGCAAGTGACACAATTAACAGAGAGAAAAATTACGATTAAGTTATTGCAGTTAAGAAGTTAAAAGCATTTAGGGTGCTCAGATACAAGAGTCAGTAAACTATGGCCAAGGGGTCAAATGCAGTCCAATCTTATTCATGTAAATATAGTTGTCTTAGAACATAGCCACACCCATTTATTTATATGTTGTCTACGGCTTACCTGGGGGCTATCACAGCAACACAGACCATATGACCTGCAGAGCCTAAACTATTTACTGTCTGGCCCTTTCAAGAAAACTTTATTGACCCCTGTTCTTATACAATGACCCTGTTGAGTGGGCCTCCATCTATGCATGCCCTACCTCAATTTCCCATCGAATGGTTTGAGGTAGGAGTGAGGTGGCACCTGACCCAAGAGTATCTCACCCACAGGTTTGGGTAGCTAATCAAATATTCTCTTTCTTGAGAACTGGAACTGAGAGACACAGACTCTAGTCAAATAGTGATAAGTTCTTGAACTAAAGAGTAATTGCTGAATGAGAATCAGGTTCAGCACCACAGCAAGCTAAATAAATAAGTAGATAATAGATAGATGGATGGATGGATGGATGGATGGATGGATGGATGGATGGGTAGATAGATAGATAAATAGATGAAGTTCTACAGGAGAAGAAACATCATGAGGAAACAGAAGAAGCAGGAGAATGAAACACTTGGTTTTCTAAAGAGTTACATGAACACTACATCAAAAACTAATGATGTAATGTATAGTGATTAACATAACAATTAAAAATGTAAAAAAATAAAGAGTTACATGAGATGTTGAATGGGAAATACTTTTTAACTCTACTGAAATAGTTATGGGCCAAAGTACACATCAAAGACTTGGTACTTCCTTCTAGGCTTGAATTAAATAGCTGGGGAAGGCTGGCTCCAGGAAGCAAGTCTTGAGTTGCTGGAAAGGATGAAGAAAGGCAGAGTGAGCAGGGTAGATTGCTGTTTATCACCCCCCACCTCTGAGAAAGCCATTTCAATGATGCCTCGGTTATCTCAAAGTGATCAGTCATTAGGAACCAAAGACAGGATGACCCTAGGATAATAAACTAACAGTTCTCCAAATGTGAGTCCCAGACCAACAGCATCATCACCTGGGAACTTGATCTTTCTCTCCTGAATTCCCTGACACCCCAAATAATCAAGTTTCAAATCACCTTGGCCCCACTGCAGACCTCATAAATCCTGCCTGCCCCACCGGCAACAGAAAAAGTATAGGGAATCAAATGAGAATCTCTGGGTCCCAAAGCCCTATTTCCCTTCTGAAGTTTTCCAGGCCACAAGTACTCTTGAGGGTTATTCCTTCCATACCTGTGTGAGAAAAGAAATGGATTATAGCCTGGGAGCAAGGCTTCTCTGCTTGTTTGTCACAAAAAACTTAGACTGGTTCCAAGTGCTTGTCATTGCTACAGTCAAGACTCTCTGAACCCCTCTTTAGCCAATGCCATAGCTGCGTTTCCTCCTCCACGGCCATGGTTCTCAGCCCTCGCCGCACAAAAGAATCCCCTGGGAGCTTCTCCCCAAGCTTCATGGAGGTTAAGTTTACAAGCAAAATTGGATATATGTAAAGCAGACAATGTAATGGTTTGATACATTATGGTATATACATTATGGGATGTGTGTACATTGTTGTATACATTGATGTATACAATGGTGTATACATTATGGGATAATTACCACAATCAAGTTAATTCACACATCCATCACCTTACCCGGCTACCCTTGTGCTTGAGATCTACTCTCTTAGCAAATTTCAAGTATACGATAGAATATTGTTAACTGCAGTCACCATGCTGCACATTAGATCCCCAGAACTTAGTTATAACTGAGAGTTAGTTCTCTTTGGCCAGCATCTCCCCATCTCTCCCCACCTCCCAGTCCCGGCCACCACCATTCTACTCTCTGTTTCTCTGAGTTCAACTTTGTTCTTAGCTTCCACAAATAAGAGAGACCATGCAGTATTTGTCTTTCTGTCTCACCTGGAAGCTTTTAAAACATCTCCATGGTGGACCCACCACCAAGATCTTGCTGTAACTGTTCGCGTGTGGGGCCCAGACATTGGTGCTCTTTCAAATCTTCCCCAGCAGTTTGAAGATCACCACTCCAGTGCTTCAGATGCTCTTTAGAGCTGCCAATAAAGGGAACATGATTTCATGCCTCCTACTTCGAAAGCCTATCGCCAACAGGGATGGGGAAGCAGAAAGCAGGAGCAAGATAGGCTCAAAGATTCTCTCTGCAGCTCAGCGAGTCCCTCAGAAAACAAAGCAAGCACAGCAATATCGGCTCCAGGGACCTCAGAGCAAACAGTCACAAAATCACTGCACGGATTCTGCACTAGCACCAGGGAGAGCAAAAGAGGGCTTTTCCTAATTGTTATTATGTTTTTAAGCACTTATCTATGTGCCTGACACAAATAATAAAAATGCACAGTCCTCTAAGAACAGGAATGTGCCGTGAAAGAGATAATAATGTAAAGACAAACAAAATAAGCGAATAAAAACTAAGCCGTAAAGCGACATGATTTTCACTCCGTGCCATGGAGGCATTTGTCCATTTATTCATTAAATAGTCAGTGTGCACACACTATGCGTCAGGCAGAGGCTAAGACAGCAAACGTGGGTGAACACAAGTCAGCTCTACTTCCGGCCCTCGAGTTTTCGGGGAGAAAGGTGGAGCAGAGAGACGCAGACAAATCACTGTAAGCTGAGGATGTGTGATGATTTCAAGGGTAGAAGCCTGCAGGTGCTACTCGGAAAGAGAATGAACGAGGGCAAGGAGGGGTTAATATATAGATTGAGGGGCCTGAGAAGATAGACCTGCATAATGGCTGGGTAGGACCTTGTCAGGCTAATTGTGTCTATGTGGGCCAGGGGGCACAGAGAGAGTAAGATGTGAGGTGTCCTGGAGGTGGCAAAGAGGTTGACGACTTACACAAACCAAAGGAAGGTGAGCGTGGTGGCTGGGAGCGAGGTAGGGTGGGGGTGGGGCAGTGGGGAAGCTAGAGGAGTCTGGGAAATACTCACACCAGTGGGGTCTTTTCAGACCAATGTCTGGTGTGGTCTATTCTTTACCTTACTCTGACAGGTTTTAGTATATGACTCTAGGTGACCGGGGGCTCTGTACCCTACATGTCACTTCCTATCTATTAGAGACAACAGAAATATAAGGTAATTTGGACTATATTAGGGGCATAAAGAATCTAGGAAACCACACCTTAGAGACATCATCAAAATGAAGAATGCAAAAGGAAGCAATTTTGCTGGGGTTTGGCTTTTTATTTCTGAACTTTGTGCATAAAACAATCCTGCTGAGCCCTGCAGAGTAGGGGCTAAAAAGTATCATTTTGTTCCTGAATATTTATTGAACACCAAGTAGGGTAGGGCATGACTCTATGAGACACATGGAGACATAAAATGTCAGCTCTGCCCTCCCTCCAGAAATATACAGTCTGCTTGGGAGGCATAAGATAGAGAAAAGACAAAAAACGGACCCAGCTAAGCATCATGAGGAGCACAGATCATCTGGGCTACAGAAAGCCAAATACCATGCAGGGTCCCTAAGAGCTTTGGGGCAAAAGGGGAGATTAAAGAACGCTGAAGGAAAAGGAATGGAAAGTATTGAGGTCAAAGTAAAGGACAGACATAAACTTGCAAGAAGATGGATCTGGGGCAGGAAGGGTGGTCCGAGTGAAAGAAAGAACATACATGGTTTATGTCAGTGTTCAGTGAACTGTGGGTCATGGGCCAAATCCCGCCTGCCATGTTTTCGTAGGGGCTGCAAGCGAATAAAGGGTTTTACGTTTTTGGATGGTTGAAAAACCGTCGAAGAAATCTTTCGTGACACATGGAAATTCTATGAAATTCAAATTTCAGAGCCGACAAATAAAGTGATTGGAAGACAGCCATGCTCATTCATGTGGTATTGTTTCTGACTTTCTCACTGCAACAGCGGAGTTGGGTGGTCACAACAGAGACTGTTGCTGGCAAAGCCTAAAATATTTACTATGTGGTTCATTACAGGAAAAAAAAAAAACTGCCTCCTGCTGGCTTAGCTGAGGAGCAATCACTTGAACAGATCAAGGAGCAGGGGAACTGTCAGGGTCCAGGTCGTCGTGGGTCTTACTAGGCTATGCACTTTCAACTCCACTGTCTTTTTTTTTTTTTTT